AAATATTAACATGTTAATAAATATATTACAATAAACCTCAACCTGCTTATAAGTCCAAATATGTTTACCAGTGAAAAAAAGAAATATTAATTTTGCTGCTACCTTAAATGCAAATTTTAAAAGAATGAATTAAAATTTTCTATAGAAACTCATTTGTGTTATTTTTCTTAAAAGATTTTGCCATTTCAAATATTAAGGCATTTGAAAATGTATATATTTTTTGGTTATTCATTTCGACTTACAGTGCATAGCATGGTTTTCATAAACTGGGATACAGGAAGCAGATGATTTCAAATCGCACTTTCACTCACTCACATTTACCAAAGTATGTTCTTCTTAAAATGCTTTGCTGTTTACTATGATAATAATAATAATAATAATAATAATAACAATGTCTCTTCTATCTTGCCCATTTTAAGATACTAGAATAATCAAAGTTTTGGTTATAAACCATATTTGATTTAATCTTCTTTCACTGACAATGGTTGTATATTGATGAAAGTTACTTACTAGTAATATCTCTTGGAGTTGTATTAGGCTCACCTATTTAAAAACAAAAGTCATACAATGAGTGACAAAAAAAAGAAAATCTTGCATGAATATCATGAAATATTTAGCATTCATGTTTTTCAATTCTAAGCATTCAAAGATGATAGCTCTATGTTTAAATTGGGGGTTAGGGGGTGGAGGGGGAATATTATCTGTTTCACAACTAGAACCACTAGATTCACATTCTGCTGTTAAACTTGTAGTAAAAGCTACAAAAAAAGCAGAAACAAAATTCTAGAATTTGAAAGGATTAAAGAAAAATATCTTGTAACATTTTGCGTCTCTCTGTAAATGCTATACAATCAAATTTCAGATTTCAAAATTTGGTAGTATTTAAAAGGAGTATACACTGGACTTTCAATTAATGATTCATGGTTTTGATTATTCATAATATTATAGTGTGCCTATCAACTATTCTTTAATAATAAAGATATAGAAACATAGACAGAATGTGATGGCAGAGAAGAACCATTCGGCCCATCTAATCTGCCCAATTTTCAAAATACTTTAATTAGTCCCTGACTTTATCTTAAGTCTAGTATAGGCTTATGCCTATCACATGCATGCTTAAACTCCCTCATTGTGTTAACCTCTACCACTTCAGATTGAAGACTATTTCATGCGTCCACTACCCTCTCTGTTAAGTAATACTTCCTGAAATTATTTTTAAACCTTTGCCCCTCTAATTTAAGACTATGACCTCTTGTTGTGGTAGTTTTTCTTCTTTTATATATAGTCTCCTCCTTTACTGTGTTAATTGCTTTTATGTATTTAAATGTTTCTATCATATTCATCCTGTCTCGTCTTTCCTCCAAGCTATTCAAGTTATTGTTGAGTATCATTCACTAGACTCCGTAAAAAAATGTAAATCGGAATGGCAAAATGTATTTATATGTATTTTTAAAATATTAACATGTTAATAAATATATTACAATAAACCTCAACCTGCTTATAAGTCCAAATATGTTTACCAGTGAAAAAAAGAAATATTAATTTTGCTGCTACCTTAAATGCAAATTTTAAAAGAATGAATTAAAATTTTCTATAGAAACTCATTTGTGTTATTTTTCTTAAAAGATTTCGCCATTTCAAATATTAAGGCATTTGAAAATGTATATTTTTTTTAGTTATTCATTTCGACTTACAGTGCATAGCATGGTTTTCATAAACTGGGATATAGGAAGCAGATGATTTCTAATCGCACTTTCACTAACTCACATTTACCAAAGTATGTTCTTCTTAAAATGCTTTGCTGTTTACTATGATAATAATAATAATAATAATAATAATAATAATAATAACAATGTCTCTTCTATGTTGCCCATTTTAAGATACCAGAATAATCAAAGTTTTGGTTATAAACCATATTTGATTTAATCTTCTTTCACGGACAACGGTTGTATATTGATGAAAGTTACTTACTAGTAATATCTCTTGGAGTTGTATTAGGCTCATCTATTTAAAAACAAAAGTCATACAATGAGTTACAAAAAAAAAAGAAAATTTTGCATGAATATCATGAAATATTTAACATTCATGTTTTTCAAATCTAAGCATTCAAACACGATCGCTCTATGTCTAAATTGGGGGGGGGAATTATTATCTGTTTCACAACTAGAACCACTAGATTCACATTCTGCTTTTAAACTTGTAGTGAAAGCTACAAAAAAGCAGAAACAAAATTCTAGAATTTGAAAGGATTAAAAAAAAAATATCTTGTAACAATTTGCATCTCTCTGTAAATGCTATACAATCAAATTTCAGATTTCAAAATCTGGTAGCATTAAAAAGAAATATACATTGGATTTTCAATTAATTATTCATGGTTTTGATTATTCATAATATTATAGGGTGCCTATCAACTATTCTTTATTATTAAACATATAGAAACATAGATAGAATGTGATAACAGATAAGAACCATTCGGCCCATCTAATCTGCCCAATTTTCAAAATACTTTAATTAGTCCCTGACTTTATCTTAAGTCTAGTATAGGCTTATGCCTATCACATGCATGCTTAAACTCCCTAATTGTGTTAACCTCTACCACTTCAAATTGAAGACTATTTCATGCGTCCACTACCCTCTCTGTTAAGTAATACTTCCTAAAATTATTTTTAAACCTTTGCCCCTCTAATTTAAGACTATGACCTCTTGTTGTGGTAGTTTTTCTTCTTTTAAATATAGTCTCCTCCTTTACTGTTTTAATAGCTTTTATGTATTTAAATGTTTCTATCATATTCACCCTGTCTCGTCTTTCCTCCAAGCTATTCAAGTTATTGTTGAGTATCATTCACTAGACTCCGTAAAAAATGTAAATCGGAATGGCAAAATGTATTTATATGTATTTTTAAAATATTAACATGTTAATAAATATATTACAATAAACCTCAACCTGCTCATAAGTCCAAATATGTTTACCAGTGAAAAAAAGAAATATTAATTTTGCTGCTACCTTAAATGCAAATTTTAAAAGAATGAATTAAAATTTTCTATAGAAACTCATTTGTGTTATTTTTCTTAAAAGATTTTGCCATTTCAAATATTAAGGCATTTGAAAATGTATATATTTTTTGGTTATTCATTTCGACTTACAGTGCATAGCATGGTTTTCATAAACTGGGATACAGGAAGCAGATGATTTCAAATCGCACTTTCACTCACTCACATTTACCAAAGTATGTTCTTCTTAAAATGCTTTGCTGTTTACTATGATAATAATAATAATAATAACAATGTCTCTTCTATCTTGCCCATTTTAAGATACTAGAATAATCAAAGTTTTGGTTATAAACCATATTTGATTTAATCTTCTTTCACTGACAATGGTTGTATATTGATGAAAGTTACTTACTAGTAATATCTCTTGGAGTTGTATTAGGCTCACCTATTTAAAAACAAAAGTCATACAATGAGTGACAAAAAAAAGAAAATCTTGCATGAATATCATGAAATATTTAGCATTCATGTTTTTCAATTCTAAGCATTCAAAGATGATAGCTCTATGTTTAAATTGGGGGTTAGGGGGGTGGAGGGGGAATATTATCTGTTTCACAACTAGAACCACTAGATTCACATTCTGCTGTTAAACTTGTAGTAAAAGCTACAAAAAAAGCAGAAACAAAATTCTAGAATTTGAAAGGATTAAAGAAAAATATCTTGTAACATTTTGCGTCTCTCTGTAAATGCTATACAATCAAATTTCAGATTTCAAAATTTGGTAGTATTTAAAAGGAGTATACACTGGACTTTCAATTAATGATTCATGGTTTTGATTATTCATAATATTATAGTGTGCCTATCAACTATTCTTTAATAATAAAGATATAGAAACATAGACAGAATGTGATGGCAGAGAAGAACCATTCGGCCCATCTAATCTGCCCAATTTTCAAAATACTTTAATTAGTCCCTGACTTTATCTTAAGTCTAGTATAGGCTTATGCCTATCACATGCATGCTTAAACTCCCTCATTGTGTTAACCTCTACCACTTCAGATTGAAGACTATTTCATGCGTCCACTACCCTCTCTGTTAAGTAATACTTCCTGAAATTATTTTTAAACCTTTGCCCCTCTAATTTAAGACTATGACCTCTTGTTGTGGTAGTTTTTCTTCTTTTATATATAGTCTCCTCCTTTACTGTGTTAATTGCTTTTATGTATTTAAATGTTTCTATCATATTCATCCTGTCTCGTCTTTCCTCCAAGCTATTCAAGTTATTGTTGAGTATCATTCACTAGACTCCGTAAAAAAATGTAAATCGGAATGGCAAAATGTATTTATATGTATTTTTAAAATATTAACATGTTAATAAATATATTACAATAAACCTCAACCTGCTTATAAGTCCAAATATGTTTACAAGTGAAAAAAAGAAATATTCATGTTGCTGCTACCTTAAATGCAAATTTTAAAAGAATGAATTAAAATTTTCTATAGAAACTCATTTGTGTTATTTTTCTTAAAAGATTTCGCCATTTCAAATATTAAGGCATTTGAAAATGTATATTTTTTTTAGTTATTCATTTCGACTTACAGTGCATAGCATGGTTTTCATAAACTGGGATATAGGAAGCAGATGATTTCTAATCGCACTTTCACTAACTCACATTTACCAAAGTATGTTCTTCTTAAAATGCTTTGCTGTTTACTATGATAATAATAATAATAATAACAATGTCTCTTCTATCTTGTCCATTTTAAGATACTAGAATAATCAAAGTTTTGGTTATAAACCATATTTGATTTAATCTTCTTTCACTGACAATGGTTGTATATTGATGAAAGTTACTTACTAGTAATATCTCTTGGAGTTGTATTAGGCTCATCTATTTAAAAACAAAAGTCATACAATGAGTGACAAAAAAAAAGAAAATTCTGCATGAATATCATGAAATATTTAGCATTCATGTTTTTCAATTCTAAGCATTCAAACATGATAGCTCTATGTCTAAATGGGGGGGGGGGGGATATTATCTGTTTCACAACTAGAACCACTAGATTCACATTCTGCTGGTAAACTTGTAGTGAAAGCTACAAAAAAAGCAGAAACAAAATTCTAGAATTTGAAAGGATTAAAGTTAAATATCTTGTAACATTTTGTGTCTCTCTGTAAATGCTATACAATCAAATTTCACATTTCCAGATTTGGTAGTATTTAAAAGGAGTATACACTGGACTTTCAATTAATGATTCATGGTTTTGATTATTCATAATATTAGTCCCTGGCCTAATCTTATGTCGAGGACAGCCTTATGCCTATCTCACGCATGCTTTAACTGTTTTAACCTCTACCACTTCATATGGGAGGCTATTCCATGTGTCCACTACCTTCACTGTAAAGTAATTATTTTTAAACCTTTGCACCTCTAATTTAAGACTATGCTCTCTTGTTGTGGTAGTTTTTCTTCTTTTAAGTATAGTCTTCTCCTTTACTGTGTTGGTCCCTTTATGTATTGAAATGTTTCTAAGAGGACTTTGTATCTCTGGGCATAAAGCTGAACTTCCAGCCATCAATATGAGGTGGTCTGACCAAATGGACTTCTACAAAATGAGCTCACCTCCTCCTCCAACCTTGCTGCTGTGGATTAATTGAGGACGTCAATAGGCTACCGGAACAACTATTGTCTTGCAGTGACTGTTCCTGCCTGTTTAGAATTATCTTTGTTACCTACTCACTGCACCTGAACTGTCTGCACCACCAGAAAAGCTAGCAAAAAAAATTCCCTGCCTGCATCAAAAACTCTAATGTATATTCTATTCGTTCGTATACTCACCAAAAGCTAGGGACTAAGTGATTATAAC